ACGAGAGAGCCTGCGAGTGCAGCAAAACGCCCAAGAGCACAGCAACTTGACCGTGAAAACCTCAGAGGCCTGCGAGCGCTACAATGTGCCTGCGACTACCACATACCATAGTTTCCCAGATTTTCCTGAGAATCGAAGATTACTTGTGTCTGTGTGTTTTTCCTTCCTGATGGTACGCTAGATCCTGCCAGTACCACAGCACCCTGCCAGCACAACCAACATGCCTGAGAACACGAGAACGTGTCGGTGCGCACCACAGTGCGTGTGCGACGACCAGACGGCGAGATATGCCAGGCCAAGCCAGATCCACACTAGCCTGCGATCGCCACAGTATGTATGCATAGCAGCATGCCACAACCTGCCCGTACTACAAGTTGCCGGCGAGCACAACAGCTTGTGATTGAATACCTCAGCAGCCTGCGAAAGCCAGAACGTGCCTGTGAACACGCACCGCGCTCTGCGAGCGGCACGAGCGGCACATGATAGGAAGCATAACGGTCGGTATGAGCCAAGCCGTAAAAAAAAACTCCTGGTCTTTCACTGGGGTCACGGCCCGGCTTTGCGTCCAGTCCACGGACTTATTCAGAGGGGCGCCGCTGTAGACGTGCGTACCAAGGTGGCGCAGTTCACCCCAAGTGTTGTTCGGCTTCTTCCGCCCATTCACGTAGACCGCCGAGAACTCGTCAACGGTCATGTCCGCGAACAAGTTCACGCCCAGCTCGTAGGAATGCCCCCTTGCTACTCCGCTGGAAGATGAAATCGCGGTGCTACTAGAAGGTCTCGGAACGGGCTGACTTCTCCCCGTCGTTGCACATCTTACCACACTCCTCCTTGCAAGCACCCCATGTCAATCCGCAGTCCATGGACACAACCTGCCCAACAGTGGCAGTGCCCAGCAGCGCAGTCGTGCCGGCGGCGCGCATGGCCAACGAACGCAGCGAGGGGGCGGGCGAGCGCGGAGCAGTTGAGCGTCCTAGGGTGGGTTTGCGGGGCCCCGGTTCTTGAGCCGAAGTGGCTGCGGATGAAGGGGGGGCGGTCCGGAAGCACACCGGCAGTTTCGGGTGTGCAGTGCCTCGCCGTCGGCGTCTGGGCGCCAGCTTCATGTGCACATGACGTCCTGAAGGAAGAAACATATCGAAAACCACCTTGTCTATGCAAAAAATACGGCCGGCGCTGCTGTTATTTCTCTGCTCCGCTGGACGGAAGCTCGATTGAGATCGTCGCACGTGACCAACGGTGCAGTCTGAGCACACAACCTTTGAAGGGCAGACAGCGGTGCGATTGGGAAAAAAAGGTCGGATGTCACAGTTTACCGCAAGTCAGCGTGACCACAAGCAACGTGTTTCTAGCGAAGCATGTTGTGTTATATACGTGGTGCTATCTAGGCTTGTGCCATCTACATAATAAGATACATGTGGTGCATTATATATGATGATATATATGCAATACACTCTATGTGGTGCTACACATGATGCGCAATGCATGTGGTGCAACATACGCAAACCAATGGATAGTGTGCACACTACGTGCTGCTGTCTGAAGGCGCATCTACGCGGTGCAATCAATCTTGACCGTCTTGAAGCTGTCCTCTCCACTGCTCGTGCAAACATCCCACCCTCCCACCCGCAACTTGGTCGCAAGACCTCTTCAGACAAGACCGTGACGGTAGGTACCACATGGCACTTGGCCACGACACCGAGCCGACGACGACAGCCGACGACGACAGCGACATCGACGACGACGGCGCCGCCGACAGCGACTGCGACGACACCGACGACGTCTCCAATGTTTTCGACGGCGACAACGACGACGACGACGACACCGACGACGACGACAACGACGCCGACGACGACGACGAAGACGACGACGACGTCGCCAACGGAGACGACGACGAGGGAGGAGAAAAAACGACGACGGCGACAACGACGACAACGACGATGGAGGAGGGAAGACGGCGACGACGCCAACGACGAAGAAGGAGGAAGGACGGCGACGCCGACGACGACAACGACGAGGGAGGAGGGAAGACGACGACGATGACAACGACGACGAAGACGACGACGACGGCGACGAAATGAAAGGACGACGACGAGACGCCGACGACGGACGACGACGACGAGGGAGGAGGATAACGACGAGGGAGGAGTGAAGACCACGACGACGACGACGACGACGGCGACGAAATAGGAGGGACAACGACGAGACGCTGACGAAGACAACGAGGGAGGAAGGACGACCACGGCGACAACGACGACGGAAACGACGACGACGCCAAGACGACGACAACGACGACGAGGAAAGACAGAAGACGACGACGGCGACGACGACGACGACGACGACGGGGAGGAGGGAGGACGACGACGACGACGACGACGCAAGAGCGCGCGCGCACGCTTTTGTTGAAAATCCGTGTTGCGAAACCTTGGGTTCTTGTAGGTTTTTTGGACGCACGATTTTGAAATCCTTCTGAAACCGATGGTTTTTGAAGGATTTCGGCATACGCCCGCGACGACGCGCGCGTCTGCACTTCGTCTCATTTTTTGCAGAGGATTCTCGCGACGGCACACGCGCAAGGGCGTTCGACAGATTTCGACACGCGCGCGCGCGAAGCCCGTTTGGTAGCATGTTGTGAAAATCTTGGAAAACCTATGGTTTTCTTAAAATTTCGCAAGACCTCACGCGGAAGTTGTTTTAGCAAATCAGTGTTGCGAAAACATGTGTTTTTGTATGTTTTCCGGAAACTCGATTGCGAAATCCTTCCGGCACCGAAGGTTTTTGAAGGATTTCGGCATGCGCGCGCGACGACGCGCGCGTGTGCAATTCGTCCCATTGTTTGCAAGGGACTCGCGAAAAAGTGCTATGTTAGAACAAAAAATGTCACCGCATAGTGTTTTTTTTACAAGGGAACCGCAGGGGGGGGATACCGGCTTGGCTGGGATAGTATGAATTCATATTTAGGATGGACATGTGGTCAGAATCATATGTAATTTACAACACGCGCGGGGTAACCGATAAGTCCGGGGGGGGGGGTAGAATCTATTAGTCTTTCAGAAAGGAAAATAGATGATGTTTTCCTATGTGAAGCACAATATGTAAGGTCGTTCATGTGGTGCACTACACGCTGTGAACAATACGCGGAACAATCGTTGTTGCGCAACACACGCGGTGATATCTACGCGTTTCAGTATATAGTGTACTAGCTACGTGGTGCACTCTAATTGGTGTAAAGCGTATACATATATATATATGTAAATATGTGTGTATACACATATACAAACGTGGTGCAGCTTGTGATGTGCACTGTATGTGGTGCACCTTATGTGGTGCCATCCATGTGGCGACACATGTGTTGTGCACCCTATGTAGTCCATGCGGTGCACTCTACGCGGTGCAATCGATGCTGCGCCAACTATGTGGTGCAACCGATGTGGTGCAACAAGTTTGAAAACCTGGCGTTCTAAATTCCACTGCTCGCGCAATCATACCACCCACCAACCCGCAACTTGGTTTGCAAAACCCATGCGGCGGCATTGCGATGAGTGCCTGGTGGTGCCTGGTGCATCGCTATGGCCGCGCTCGCCCGCACAACGGCCAGCTAGCTTGGCGCGACCGACGTGGACACGGTGGCGGTGACCGCTGCTTCCCAGCGCGGCTCGTAAGCCGCGCTGACGCGCGAGCACTTCAGTGTGACTCGGTGACTTGGGCGGGCGCGGCACCATGGCGACGTCGACAACGGTAGATACAATGATAAGTGTAGCTATGGTGGTGACGGTGATGACGATGACGAAGGCAAGGCCATTGACGGCGCCGACGCTAATCACGCCGACTACGGTGATGGCGCCCACGCGTCGGTGATGAAGGTTCGGGAAGAATTATGGCATGCGCGCGCGGCCGACGCGCGCGAGTGGCCCGCATGGTATTTTGTGGCATGGATCGTGCCCCCCAGCACGCGCGCAAGGGCGTTCGAATGACTTCGGCATGCGCGCGCGAGAGGCCCGTTTGGTCGAGTTTGAAGAGTATGCTGGAAGACCGATGATTGTCTTTAAAAGTTGCAAGGGCGCGCGCGCAGACCTTTTTAAAAATAGTCATGTTGCCAAACCATGTGTTTCTTACATGTGTCTGGGACACTCGATTTTGAAATCCTTGCGGAACCTGAGGTTTTTGAACGATTCCAGCATGCTCGCGCGACGACGCGCGCGCGTGCACCGTCATACGTGTGGCAAGGGGTTCTGACAATTGATGATGTTTAATACATGGGTGCGCGCGGATAATATTTTCTGCAAGGGATGAAGGGGGTCGATACCACATGGGCTGGGATGGAATGTGTTCATATTGAGAATGAACGATGGGGCAGAATCGTAAGTCACTTGCATATTCCCACGGCGGGGGGGGGCATAATCCCGGGGCGGTAAATCCTATATCTGTTTTGGAAATAGACTCTATGCGGTGCAATGTTTGTTTTGCAGTCTACGCGGTGCAATCCATGTTGTGCAATCTGAAGCTGCGGGTAAGCGACGGGACGGCGACGGCGGCCACATAGCCGCCAGACAGAAGACACGGCCCAGACGACAGGCGGCGACAAGGCGGCGACGGGGCGGCGACGGGGCGGCGACGGCGGCCACATAGCCGCCAGACCGAAGACACCGTCCAGTTCCTTGGAACAGGAGCAAGATCCCTAAGTGCATGCATGCAACGTTTGGGAAACAATCCTGTTTCTGAAAACAGTGCGGGGTAGGCGGCAAATGAGGACAGCATCGTGGGATAGAGGAGGTATGCATTCAGATGACAAAGCTGTGGATTAGTAGGAGGAGTGAGGGAGCGAGGGGGGGAATAGGAGGGAGCAGGAAGGGGGGAGGGAGGAGGAGAGCCGTTGGAGAAAAGGGAGGAGGAGAAAGGAAAAAGAGAGGGGGAAGGGGGAGGGGAAATAACAGAAGGAAGGAGGAGGAGGAGGAGGGAGGAGGAGAAGGAGGAGGAGGAGGAGGAGGAGGAGGGGCCAGACCGGGGAATGCCAGTCTGCAAGAGATGGTCTTTACCTCCTGCGTCCAATGAGTGACAGCGCGCGAACCTGCTTGCGGGACCCCTTGCGAGGCGTCAGCCGCGCGCTGCGAGGTGGAAAATGCACCGCAAAGCGGTCCCTCACTCGAAGCCTACAGAACTCCACATGCTCGTCCTGGTCCTCCTCCTCCTCCTCCTCCTCCTCCTCCGTTTCCGTCTCCGTCTCCGTCTCCGTCTCCTCTTCCTCCTCCTCCTCCTCCTCCTCCTCCTCCTCCTCCTCCTCCTGCTCCTCCTCCCGTTTCGCACCATTCCCTCCTCCTCCTCCTCCTCCTCCTCCTCCTCCTCCTCCTCCTCCTCCTCCTCCTCCTCCTCCTCCTCCTCCTCCTCCGCCTCCGCCTCCTACTCATCCTCATCCTCCTCCTCATCCTCCCGCCCCTGTTCCTGCTCCTGCTCCTCGATCTCATTATACTCACCATCCCCCACCCTCTCATCCAACTTACGCATCCTCATCCTCATGGTTACCGTCATCTGCCTCCGACTGATCATCGACGTCGTCATCATCATCGTCATCATCATCAGCATATCATCATCATCATCATCATCATCATCATCATCATCATCAGCAGCAGCAGCAGCATCATCAGCAGCAGCAGCATCATCATCGTCGTCGTCATCATCAGCATCAGCATAATCACCATCATCATCAGCATCATCAGCATCTCCATGAGTATCGTCATCATCGGCATCATCGTCAACGTCATCAGCATCATCATCATCATCATCATCAGCATCATCAGCATCATCATCAGCATCATCAGAATCATCATCATAATCAGCCTCATCAGTATCATCATAAGCATCAGCATCATCATCTTCATCATCAGCAGCATCAGCATAGTAATAGTAGCAATACAACAACAATATAGTAATACGACTGCTAAACAAAATTAGAATGATAATACTAATGATTAGCATCATCATCACCATCATCATCATCAGCAGCACCATGATCAGCATCGGCATCATCAGCAGCAGCAGCATCTTCAGCGGCAGCTTCAGCAGTATCATCATCAGCATCCGCATCAGCAGCATCGTCGTCGATGTCATCAGGCACCTCCTCATCGTCATCAGCATCAGCATCACCATCAGCGCCAGCATCATCATCAGCATCATCATCATCAGCAGCAGCATCATCATCATCAGCAGCAGCAGCTCATCATCGTCATCAGCATCATTAGTATCAGCATCATCATCATCATCGTCGTCGTCGTCGTCATCATCAGCACCGTCATCATCGGCATCAGCATCGTCAGCATCATCAGCGACATCGACATCATCATTCTCAGCAGCATCATCATCATCATCAGCATCATCATCATTATCAGCAGCATCAGATTCCTCATCATCCGCAGCATCATCAACATCATCACCATCATCAGCATCAGCATGACCATGACCATCATCATGTTACCGTCATCAACATCATCATCAGCATCATAATCAACATCATCACCATCGGCATCATCATCATAGTCGTCATCATCAGCAGCATCATCACTTTCAGTCGTCATCATCAGCAGCATCATCATTTTCAGTAGCATCATCTGCATGTTCAGCATCATCAGCATCGGCATCATCATCGTCGTCGTCGTCATCGTCAGCAGCATCATGATTGTCAGTAGCACCATAACCATTTTCAGCAGCATCATCGTCAGCATCATCATCAGCATCGTCATCATGATCAGCGTCATCATAATCATCGTCGCCATCGTCGTCATAATCGTCATCATCATCGTCACCATCATCATCATCATCATCATCATCATCATCATCATCATCAGCATCATCATCATCATCATCATCATCAACTGCAGCATCATCGCCCTTTGAACCACCACCATCACCACCATTCCAGCATCATCACCATCATCATCATCACCACCACCAACGAAAACAAAAACAGCAACAACAACAAGCATCAGTTTAAGACTGATCGCTCTTGTCTGCTCGCAAGCCATTCATCACCTATGTCCCAAACCCTCGATTCCCGCACTCTTCGTCTTCGAACGTAACCCCTTGGGGGGTATGTTTCTTGCCTGCAACATGTATTTCGTGCATCCCCGAGGGCAGGGGAAGAGAGAACGGATGGAAGGAAGGGACAAATGAGAGGGAGGAGGACGGAGCACGAGAGACAGCAGGAGGGGGGGCCAGGAGCAGAAAACACGTGGCAGAACCAGGCGGGCAGATCTGGGCGGGTGACCCCGAGAGGCGGGTCGAGAAGGCGGGCCCAGCCGGCCAGGTCGAGCGGGCGGGCTGATGAAGCGTGCGTCCTGCACGGATCGCGAGGAAGTCTCGAGCGATGGCGCGATTCCCAAGTAAATCGCGATAAAAACCAGAGCGAGAGCGTGACTCTGGAGTGTCGAAGACGCGGAGCCTGAATAAATTGCAAGGAAGTCCCACGCGAAAGCGCGAGTCCTGCATAAATTGTAAGGAAGTCCCACGCGAGAGCGCGACTTGATACTAAAGTGTGAAGAAATATAAAGCGGGAGCCGCTGTTTTTGTAAACCGGGGGCCAACAACCCATCCTATTTGGTGACATCTCATTTCCCCTTGTAAAAAACAGGGTGCTAGCCCCGGGGGGAGACCTTTCAATTGATAAAATAGAATGGTCACCTGAAGGGGGGATCAACAATGATCAACTATTCTTTAGAAAAGAAAATTCAGCAACAACACCATCATCATAATCCTTATGATAAGCATCACCATCATCATCATCAGCAACAGCATCATCATAATCATCATCATCATCATCATCAGCATCATCATCATCATCATCATCAGCAGCATCATCATCATCAGCAGCAGCAGCATCAGTATCATCAGCACAATCAGCATCCCCATCATGACCAGACAACGCAACATCATCACCAGCAACATCCATATCGGCACCATCATCAGCAGCAGCCGCATCAACAAAATCATGTGTCCTCCTCCTTGTCCTCCTCCTCATCAGCATCATGATCATCATCATCGGCATCATCAGCAGCAGTAACAGCAGCATCAGCATCTCCATCCCCCTTCCTCATCTTCCTCCTCTCCATCATCATAGTAAGCATCATCATCACCATCATCATCATCATCATCATCATCATCATCATCATCATCATCATCATCATCATCATCATCCCCCCCTCTTCATCGTCCCCAGCCTCCTCCTCATCCTGATCCCCCTCCCCAACCCACTCCTCATTCTCTTCCTACTCCTCCTCGTCCTCTTCCCCCATCCTCCAGCTTGCTGTTCCACCTCATCACCCCATCACCTAACTAGAAAAAGAGCTCCTTGCACAACTGCATTGTCACCTCTGGCGAAGTTACGGAATGACCAACCGTGCGCGGGTGCGAAAAGATCTCATAGTCGTTGCCACCCGGAGACGTCTTGTCTCCAAAAAAGTGCACCTCAGTGAACTCCGATTCTGGTAGGTGTCGCAGACAATATGTCTTGTCCCAGCCTTCCGGGAAGACGTCGAAGGAAATTTGCCCGCCGATTGAGTACGTGAGCTTGTAATCTGCAAACTCTTTCTTCATGGCCTCTATCATGTTGGCGCGGATGTTGTGTTCGTTGTCATACTTTTCGAAGTCGTTACGCTCCTCACGCGAACAATTACGCCCAATCGGAGAAATGTTAATCATACCTGTCCGGTACTCCAGGAATGTGCCACGCTTGAGCGGGAGGGTGATGTCACTGAGGTAGCGCAAAACCCAATTCACTAGCTTCTGGATCTTTTCTTCGCCATAGTGGTCGGCGATGGACGTCTGTGCAAGAGGCTCCCCAGCTTTGTAGGCAACGAGACCATTTTCCGAGAAGTTGTAATCGAAGAGCTCCAAGGTCTTTGGCCCCAACTGCTCCTTCTGCTTCGGCATGTCCGAGCCACCGACAACACCCGTTGTGATCTTGCCCTTGAGGGTTGCCAGGAACTCAAGAATCTCTTCTGTGGCTTCACCACGAGGGATCGTCAGCGTACCATCGACGTCAAAAAGAGCGAGCACGTGCTTCTTCTTCTCCGACATCTCTGCGCTCGCCGCCAGCGCACGGACCGGGCAGTCGCAAAATCCAACCTGCCTTGGGCCTCAGTGCTCACAGCGCATAATCATACACGCTCGTGCCCCCCATCTCTCCTCTCGTCCTCGTCAGTCCCTCCTCCTCCCTCACTCCCCTTCCCCCTCCTAGCCTTCCTCCCTCCTCCTCCTCCTGCCCCTGGAGACGAGATGGCTGCAGGATGCCGCCCGAGCACCCTGGCACCCTCTGGGCGCCCAGAGGACGCCAGCTTCGGCACTCTCGCAGCGTCGGCACTTTACGTCCGACGGTGCCCGCCGAAGGTTCGCCATGGCCTCCGCCTCCGCGGAGCGGCCCTCGACGCCCACGTCCCCAGGCGAACCTCCCCGAGGTCTAAAAAAAGGCGAGGCCCGCCCTGGATGGCGCTCCAGGACGGGCCGTGCGCTTGTTGGCGCCGCTGCTCGGGCTCTGCGCCTCAGCCCCCCCCCTCGGCTTCTGGCTGGGGCGGTGGGGCCGCACGGGTGATCATGCAGTGCTTCTCCTGCTTCTGCAGGTCCTCCTCCTCCTCCTCCTCCTCCTCCTCCTCCTCCTCCTCCTCCTCCTCGTCCTCGGTCGGATGCGCTGGGGCCATTGAGACCCCGAAGAGACCAGGCACCCACTGCGCCGAAGAGCCACAACTCCGCGGCGCGGGCGGCTGCCCCGCTCCCGCGCCTGCTCCCGCTTGCACCGTTCGGGGTGGCCGGCCGGCGAACCAGCAGAGGCCTCCCCCGCTGCTCCTCCCTGGCCCATCCCTTCTCCCTCCCTCCCCCCCTCCCTTGCTGACGCCCTCCTGCCTCTAAGGGGATCGCGTCCGAAGGTCTCGTCCTCGGCCTGTCCATCTTGCTGCTCCTGCTCCAGGGCTTCTCCTGCTTCTGCAGGTCTTCCTTCTCCTCCTCCTGCTCCTCCTCCTCCTCCATTCCTTTTCCTTACAACTAACTCCTCCCTGTCGCAAGTGGGAAGGGCGGGCTGGGCGTTTCGCCTGAGACTCCCTTACCACTTATGAGCCTGAAGATGAGTTTTGAAGAACAGCTTCACATGTGGAGGGCGGGTGGCTTTTCAAAATGTGGTTCTCGCCTTAGGGCCGCGCACATTCGTTGTAAAGTGCTGCAAGAGTTTCACGGATTGAGGGCGGGTGGCTTTCACAATGTGGCTCTCGCCTTAGCGCCGCGCACATTCGTCTTTAAAAGATTGCAAGGTTTCACGGAGTGAGAGCGGCTCATTGTCAAAATGTGGCTCTCGCCGTTGCGCCGCGCACATTCGGCCCCAAATGTGCAAGAGCGTCACGGAGTGAGGGCAGGCGGTCTTCAAAATGTAGCTCTCGCCTTAGCGCCGCGCACGATCGTCTTAAACATTTACAACAGTTTCACGGATTGAAGGCGGTCCTTTTCAAAATGCGGTTCTCGCATTAACGCCGCGCACATTATCCCTAAAAACTTGCCAGAGTTTCACGGATGCCCATGGTCAATGTAGCAGAGATGGTGTTCTCAAGCGAATCAAGATTAACATGACGTAGCAAGTATGTTGATTCGCAGTGTTGAAGTCCCAAGAACGGTGTTATGGCACGGTTCTGGATCTATGTATAGAGATAGAGACAGAACGATATATATATATATATCATTATCTATACATATGTATACATATATCTACATATATATATATATATATATATATATATATATCCGGTCGGAAAATGCACTCCAGCCCTCTAAGCGAGATCCGTGTGAGGGGGTGCCAAAAGTGGCCTCTGGAGGACGGCTCACCCAGCAAACAGGGAGCCAACCAGCCAGCCAGCCAGCCAGTCCTTCCCCGTGCATATGTTGAGGATGCTCCACGCCGCTGGGCCCAGAATTGTTTTTCTTTCACCCGGAATGACCGCGGGGTGGGGGAAGGGAGGAGCGTGAGGCAATGGAATGGAATGGACGGAACGCAGTGAAAGGGAGGAGTGGATGGGATGGAATGGGATGGATGGAAAACGAACGACGTGGACCTGAATATGTTGGAATGGCGTGGAGTGGATTGGAATGGAATGGAATGGGAGGGGTGGATGGACTGGAATGACGTGGAATGGCATGGGGTGGGACCGATGGGAGGCGCGCGCGGAGGGGCGGGCGGGCCGTGCAGGAGTGCGGGAGGGCGCACGGCGTTGTGCTGCATTGCATTCCATTGCACTGCGTTGCGTGGCGTTGCGTTGCAATGCGCGACGCACTGCGTTGCACTGTGCTGCATCCTGGTGCGCTGCACTGCATTGCACTGCGTTGCATGTGCAGTGCACTTGCAGCACATTGCGTTGCAGATATTTGCGGTGGGGGGGGGAGGGGAGGGAGAGGGCGGAGGAGGGAGGAGGGGAGGAGGGGAGGGGAGGGGGAGGCGGGAGGAGGAGTAGCGCATAGCATTGCAGAGAGGAGGGAGGAGCGGGAAGGAGGGGAAGAGGAGGAGGAAGGTGGAGGGCGGCGGGAGGATGGAGGAGGGAGGAGCAGGGAGGGAGAAGGACGAGGAGGAGGATTGGATAGTACTTTCGTTCGCCTCCAAGGCCCTCGTCATCGTCGTCGTCGTGGCAGAATGTGTTTGTTAGGCCCCCACGGCGCTGCCCCGTGACGCGTTGCATGCCATTGCATTGCGGTGCAGTGCAATGCATTGGATTGGATCCTGTTGCGATGCACTACCTTGCATTTGCATTGCATCTCCAGCACAGCGCATTGCAGTACATTGCGGGCGAGGGGGAGGAGGACAGGAGGGAGGAGAAGGGAGGAAGGTAGAGAGGAGGGGGAGAAGGAGGAGGAGTGAAGAGGGGAGGGGAAGGAGGGAGGACGGAGGAGGGAAGGAGGGAGGAGAGAGGATGGAGGAGAGAGAAAGCTGGGGGGGAGGGAGAAAGACGATGAGGACAGGATAGATTTGCTGTTCGCCTCCCGGGCCCTCGTCATCGTCGTCGTCGTCGGCATCGTCGTCATCGTCGTCGGCGTTCTCGTCGTCACCCTCGCCATCGTCGCGGCATAAATAGTGCTGCTATTCAACCCCCCGGCGGCGCTACCACTTGACGACTCGAACGGAACACGGTTGCGCTGCGCCTCCAGGCGCTGCCACGCCGCGAGCGGCGTGGCGTGGTGTCCTGTGGATCGGCCCCCCGCGGCGCTGCCGCGTGACGACTACCGCTTCTTCGCGCCCCCTGTGCGCCGCCATGTTGCGCGTGGAGTGGCTCGGCACGTCTTGGCTTGGCCCCCAGGCGACGCTGCCGCGTGACGGGTCGAGCTCGGTCCCCGCCAGGCGCTGCCACGTGGCGAACCGACCAGACAGTCTCTCCCCCAGCCCCCGCGGCGCTGCCACGCACGCGACGAGTAGAGTTAGCAGGGGCCCTGGGACACACAAATAAATTGGCACAAATCCGAGGACTCCCCATATCATCCCATATGTGGGGGACCTTCGTTTTCCCCCCCACTTCCAGTAGTTCCCCACATTTTCCTGGGAGTCGAGGAGTACTGATGTCTGTGTTTTCCCCTCCTGGTGAGTGGAATAGTATCATGTCGCCCGCCCAAGCGTTGTCACGTGGCGGCCACCTAACCAACCGACCAACCCGTCTGCCGACCGACCCGCCACCAGCCAACCAGCCGGCCAACCAGGGAGGCTGTTGCGCTGCAGTGCACTGCGCTGCGCTGCATTTGCATTGCGCTGCATTTGCATTGCAGTTGCAGCACGCCGCATTGCAGTAAATTGCGGGCGAGGGAGGACAGGAGGGAGGCGAAAGGAGGAAGGCAAAGAGGAGGGGAGGAAGGAGGAGGAGTGAGGAGGGAGGACGGGGAGGAGGGGGAAGAGGAAGGAAGAGGGAGGAAGGAGGAGGTGGGATAGAGGAGGGAGGAGAAAAGGGGGAGGGAGAAGGACGAGGAGGAGGATGGGACTGAATTTGTTTGTTCGCCTCCCTGGCCCTCGTCATCGTCGTCGTCATCGTCGTCATCGTCGCCGTTCTTGGCGTCGGCCTCGTCGTCGCCCTCGTGGCATAATGTCTGTTTCGGCCCCCAGCGGCGCTGCCATCTGACGACTGGAAAGGAATACGGTTCCTTCACGCCTGCAGGCGCTGCCACGTGGCGGCTGGAGAAGCATATAGTGTCCTTTCCGGCCCCCAGCGCCGCTGCCACGCGACGAATGGAGCGGAATAGTTGTTCGGGCCCCCCACGCGGCGCTGCCACGACGGGCCGAGTGGATGGAACACCGCTTTTCTTCGCGCCTCCACGCGCTGCCACGTGGCACGTGTGGAGCGGGTGAGAACGTTGGCTCGATAATTGATAACTAATACTCTCCGGAGGACCCCTGGCCATACTAACACCCACCAGGCCGCAGTAACAACCAACGGGCCGCAGTAACACCTCATCTCGTGGGGCGACCGCGCGTGCCGGCGCCAGCGCGTGCTCGTCCCCCGAAGTGCTTCGACACGGCGCAGGCGGCGCAGCGGAGGCCGACGCGGGCTGTGTGCTGCGGGAGGAGGCCAGCGGGGTGAGCACCAACTGGGCCAGCACACGTCCTGCGGATCATCGACGAGGAGGAGGAGGAGGAAGAGGAGGAGGAGGAGGAGAAGGAGGAGGAGGTGGAGGAGGAGGGGGAGGAGGAGGAGGAGGAGGAGGAGGGGGAGGAGGAGGAGGAGGAGGAGGAGGAGGTGGAGGAGGAGGAGGGAACAGAGGGGCCCAGACTCGGAAGCCCCAAGACGGCACGGTGACAGACCGTGCGGTGACCTCGAAATCTCGAGAGGCCTCGCCGCACGTTTGGTCACCACACCGTCTTGGGACCCTGGAGGCCCCAAGTCGCCTGCGACACTCTCGGAAAAACAGTTCTGGGTGGCCCAAAAGGGGGTCCAGCTGACAGGGAGTGGTGCAATGGATTTGGGGCAAATCTACTGCAAATGTATTGCACCAGAGTTTTGTAGTGCATTGTATTGCAAGTAGTGGATTGCACGCGAAGGTCCAGCAATACATTTGCGCCCTGGAATGCATCACACGCCCCAAATTTGCAGCAAGCCCACAAATCTACTGCACCGAATACATGTTGCACCACCCCGTT